AAGGAAAGGAAAAAGACGGAGAGAAAACCAGACAAACGCTAATGCATAGCAAGCAAAAGCGGACTGTGGGCCAGTTTGCTCCGTTGCATCAATCAATTCAATTTTCGCCACAGTTTCTTGTCAAAGGTGATGCCATCCACATCTTCCACTCAAGAATGGACATGAGATTCTTTCACACACCTTCCTATCGGCTGTGCTAAGGGAATGAGAGACTAAGCGCGGAGAGGAGAGTATGAGGCGAGAGAGCGCTACAGATGAGAGAGCGCCAGACAACAGCCTGATAAGAGAAAAAAGTCTGCAGCTTCAGCAGCTTACTTTGCAAGGCCCAAGCGCTCTTGTCGGTTGGTTTCCGTGCACGGAACGCCACATTTGTGATTGTCCTCTAGGGGTCTATACTACAGACCGAAGAGAAGCGTTCACACGACCTCTGCCTGGGTTGTGCCTTTAGACACTATTTCTCAAAGAAGATTTGATGACAGAGCACTGGAGACATTGACTTTGACATTTGGTAGGAGTGGATGTTTCTCTGTGACACGGCCTTTGTTTTTTTAAAGGCAAAGATTCGAGGTCCTCGGAGCTCTTCAGTTCCATATCATGTGAAATCCATGAAAAATTTCTTGTGCTTGGCGTAAATTTTGTCCAAATCTCGCGCGATTGCTCAAAAAGTTTTTGAGACGACTGGCCTTTTCAAAAGTCCGACAGCAGTTTTCTATCATACTGTCCCCTTGTATAACTAGTGGAAAAGATTTGTGAAACAGAAGTACAAAATAAATGGAAAAACATGAGTATACAGTTGTAGAAATACTGAGCGGCTTTTGCACAAAAAATTCAGGAAAGACCCCATCGTATCTCAACGAAATCAAAATAATGCACAGCCCATACGTATATTTGACACATTGCTATACTCCTTCCAAAAAACGAGAAGAGCGTCGGGTGCAGACCGTACACCACAAGTGACGACGGCCTCCACAAAATGTAAATGTTTTCTGCCAATGAAATGATTAGCCTACCGCAGTTGTATTCTATGAGTTGTCACTTATCACAACTATCATTTACCAAAAATGAGCCATCACTGTAAACCACTACTAACCAAATTAATTCGGAGGCAGGGTCAACCCTGTGTTGGTACAAGTTCCAAAGGAGGGTCGAATTGAATACCTCGTGGATTGGGGGGGCATACTCGAAGTGCGTGACAGTCTAAGTAAAATGTTGATATACTAGTGGAAAAGATTTGTGAAACAGAAGTGAAAAATAATTGGAAGACATGAGGTATAATTTGGAGAGAGCGACTGAGCGGCCTTTTTCACAAAAAAAAATATCAGGGAAGAGACCGCCCTCGTAATCTCAAATAGAAATCAAATAATCGCAGGCAATATTGTTATTTATATTTGACACATTGCTATACTCCCTTCAAAAAACGAGAAGAGCGTCGGGGTGCAGACCGTACACCACAAGTGACGACGGCCTCCACAAAATGTAAATGTTTTCTGCCAATGAAATGATTAGCCTACCGCAGTTGTATTCTATCAGTTGTCACTTAATCACAACTATCATTTACCAAAAATCAGCTATCACTGTGAACCGCTACTAACCAGATATATCGTAAGGCGCAGGGTAACCTGGTTCTGGTACAAGTTCCAACGGCAGGGTCGTATTTGGATCACCTCGTGGGGAGGGGGGGGGAAGGGTCAACCGTTACGTTGGACCGACATTGGACCGACGTTGGACCGACGTTGACCGCTCTCCGCGCCGGCATTCGCACTCGCCTTGCGCGAGCCGTCTGTGTCTCCGTGCGTACGTTCACTCTCGGCATTACTCTCACACGCTAGAGAGCCATGCGTTGGACTTTGTCCAACGGACGGTTGACCCTGGGGGGGGGGGTACTCGAAGTGGTCGACAGTGGGAGCGAAGCCTTCCACTCGGCAGGCACCCAGCGATGAGGAGTAATGCTTGCAGCAATAGCAGCAGTGAAACATGTAGCTTCGATCCAAGCAGGCATGTCGTTGACATGAATAGAATCTAGACACCGAAATTCAGGCCTTATGTTGGCTAGATGAGACTAAATGGAAGCACTTGCCTGAACAAACTGGGGACACTAGGGCGCCCGCACTAGCCTCAGTATGTTATGACAAATAAACTGAAAATCAAAGCTTTATCAGCTGCACACGCTGTCTTTCAGATGGCACTTCAAGTTAATCAGCGAATATAGAAGCACGGGCCGAGGCGTCGGCGCCCAACTATGACAGCGATGCTGGTGCGGGGGCACAAAGCACAATTGCTCAAGCTTCTATTAACTGGGTTTCCAGCATTTAAGTTAGCTTTCCGGAACGTTACGACCGGTAAAACTTGAAAAGCCTGCGTTTTCAAGAAATGGCTTGAAATGCCCTTCCAGAAAAAGTTCCAGCGGGACTGGTTTCTGAACTACTGACTCTCGCTGACGCTCAAGTACTGTTTAACACGTTGACGACGAGCGATTTTTTCCTTGTCGCGCGCATGGGACGAGGCGTTTTTTGCATGCAAAGCGCCGGTAACAACAGGGCAAAACTTATTTTGTAGCTCTGTAAAATCTCGAAATGCACAAAATGCCTTTGACTAGAGTATTCCAAACACGTTATTCTTCATTTTCATTATTACTATTAGCTTTCTTTAGACGGTACTGGTATACGATCACATCTGATCTTCTACGAATTTTTCACTCAAGAATGACGCAAAAAACTTTGCGTACCTGACGGAATGAGCTTTTGTTTGACTGTTATCTTGTTCTTCATGATCGAATAAGTGATTTAAACGAGTCATTTCAAGGTCAAAAAACCTGTTTGTGAAATATTTGGCAGTTGATGGACTGGATAGGTACTTTTGTCCTGCCTATGAGTAAGACTGAGCCTACTTGACCATCATGGGAACCTAAGGCTAGAAATGGACATTCTACTGACGGTGACCTAATTAGTAAAGGTCGATATGAACAATTTTAGTGAGATTTCCAGTTTGCTGACGGTGGGAACTTTGTGGTTGTGATTCAATTGACAGCGCGTTTCTGCCACTGATAACTAATTCAGAATAAAACTCCCAGGAATTAGAAAGATCATAATTCGCAGACAAGTGTAGTAAGTTAGGACACTGAAGTAAACGTTGAAATAGAAAAGTCGCGGGTTCCATCTAAGTTTGCTTACTTTCAAGCTGTCGGTCACCATTGACCGACATCGTCCCATGTGACAGACTGCCTGTCGGTCAGCATTGACCGACATCGGTCTGCACGTGTTAAATCCTAAGTTTGTTATACCATGAGGTTCAGTGTCCAAATTTCAGGTGAATTTTAAAATTTCCGTTAGGAACGGGTACGACGTTCAAGGTTGAAAAGTCGCATGTGCACATGAAAAAGTATCAACGTGCTAGTTTTTTTTACTGAATTAACATTCGAAAATATCTAGCAACGCCTAAAGAGCGGATTATGTGAATTTTTCTGATCAAAACCTCGGGGCAAAGACTTGAATTTTAAGGACCCTCGAAATAGGAAAGTAAAAATTGCACTGCAATTTTTTTCTTGATTAATATAATTTGATCATTTTGAATTGTTTGAGAGCAGTTAAGCATCGGTTAGAAAGCCAGAGTCTCGCTGATCCAAGACTACCTCGATCTTCCGAAGTACCTGAATTTTACAAAGAAACTCAATACTCTTCCAAATTTCAGTATCCCCCTCTGTTGTCGCTCTCGCGGGCACGGAAACTTAAAAGCTGGAAGCTTGGATTGTCACACAGTGAGAAATTGGGGAGGGCGGAGAAGAGCACGCGGCGTCGACGGCGGGGGGGGATCGTTAAACCCCATGAAGAAGCTGGTATTAAAAATTTTCCAAAATGATACACGGTAGATTGACCTTACTTGAGTAGGCGTTTCGCTTGTGGATGCATTCGGTCTGCAGTCATCTCCCATTTTTTGGGAAAGGCAGGGCAGTGAGATTTTGGCTTAAGAAACATCTAATTTGAGTATTGAAAATATTCTCGTGTGAATTGTAATTATAAAAACACAGTGGTTTACTTTCTAGGTTTAATGATATGCACAAAAGAAATGATTGAAGTGATGATTGAATGAATGAATGAAAAGAAGTCTGGATGATTAATAGAACGTTAGAGTGAATAAAGGGCTTATAGGCTGAAAGAGAGGAATAAGAAAAAAGAAATCATAAAATTTAAGAAAAGCCACGAATTAAAAGAAACAAGCCAATGCACTGGAAGGCCAGGCAGGCCGAAGACAAAATCATATTCTGATTCTATGCACAGTTACTGGGAGTCCCTGGCGCTGTAGGCTGCCTACTGTGCTGTTTCTTATTGAGCCTCACCAATGCATGCAGGCCTTTCAACTACATTTGTTCGTGATACCACTAACTACGAAGTGACGTGTGCTTGATGATATTTGATTCGAGGTGCGCCTTATTTTTCTCGCAGATCATATAGTTTCACGTTTTCTTTGTGTTCGATGCTCATCTCGAGGTAGGTCAATGGTCTTCTCAGTTGGGGGTAAATTGCAATAAGTACTTGTTTTCTATTTTGCACTGTCCCTTTCAGCGTGACACTACCGTAATGTCACGAGGGGCTGCTAAAAGGTTTCAGCCAGGCGCGGAATCAGCTGAACTTCTTCAATGGAGAGAATGAAGCTCGTATTTGCTATGTTCAGAAAACAGTAGAGCCAGTTGGGTGAACATCCAGGTTGAGGGGGACCCATTGTGTTCTCCTTTACTTGAAGGCAAGCGCTGGGATCGACCTGACTAGTAGGAAGGATGCCGTGAGGGAGATGGTGGTATTCGTACCTACATAGATCATGCCGGCTTCATCGCAAGAGCGCGATAGGGGCGCTAACTCTCACATCGCCTGCAACCATCGACACCCATTGTAACGCCCCACCCACTGTGACTGATATGGAGATCATCAGAATTTGGTTTGATACACTCGAATCGTTTATGATTTTTCTTTCACGTAGACTTCTCAGAGAGGTTCCGCATTCTTCAGATGGACTGACGCTTATTCAAGCAACGGTGAAATAACGCCATGTAAGGACCAGCTGATCGCATCTGTTGAGTCACCCTTCACACGATGAAATTATAGTCTGATCTTGACGATGTTGTTGTGATTCATGACTCCTTCAGAAACTGAAGCTCTTTACAAGCTAGTATGTAGTGTGTGGAAATACGTGAGTGGTTAAAAAGGAGTCTTTTCAAATTTTGTTCTTCATTCTGACGCAGAACTTTCCTCTCATCGTCAAATTTGTTGCACTCCTGCCTATATCGGCCCTATGCTGTATGTCGATGAATAGGACAAAACTGTTCCGGTTAAAGCTGCTCGTTGCCGGGACTTAACCATGAATCTCCGAATTCGTCGTCGACTGAACGCTTCAAACAGCTCTTCTGTGGTGACGCTTTCTGTAGACCACATCGCCCCAATCGTGTCATTCTACCGGGTATTCTTGGACTTTGTGAATGAATGGAGCCCTCGTGACAGATACTATATATAGACACAGACACGTGATAGATACTGCAGGACATCAAAGACCACGATCCTCACTTATGCCTTTCTCATCTAGTAGTCCTATTTCTGATTCAAAGGCATGCCCCAGGATCGCATTGGTGTGGCTCTTGCACACGTAATTGGTGCGAAATGGGCCGGCAGTAAGAAAAAAGGAAAAGAATCCGTCGAAAACGCTTAGGTTAAGGGCTCACTCACCTTCCTAATCGGCTGTGCTAAGGGAATGAGAGACTAAGCGCGGAGAGGAGAGTATGAGGCGAGAGAGCGCTACAGATGAGAGAGCGCCAGACAACAGCCTGATAAGAGAAAAAATCTGCAGCTTCAGCAGCTTACTTTGCAAGGCCCAAGCGCTCTTGTCGGTTGGTTTCCGTGCACGGGAACGCCACATTTGTGATTGTCCTCTAGGGGTCTATACTACAGACCGAAGGGAAGCGTTCACACGACCTCTGCCTGGGTTGTGCCTTTAAGTGGGCAGCTATAGAAGAGAGTTCCTCTCACATGCTCTCGCTCACGCCCATGTTTCAGCTGTTCGCGGCATACCTAGGACCAACCCCGCCCCTTTTAAGCATTTCCTAACTCTTGCTCAGCTGTTAATGCGAGTCCGGTTTTCAGTGCATTGCTCCATTTAGTTCGAGCGTTAAATCACAATATAATACTTTT